ACTAGTGCTCCAGAAATCGTCTGATAAGCTAGATTTTCTTACTAATCGTTCTTGAACTCTCAGTCCCCTTGATGTTGCATCAGCCTCACTAATGGTGGGGGGTTTGGCACAGCATCCAAAACAACCTCTGCTCTGTTACAAATCAGGTTTCACCATAGATATGATTAGCACCAACTATCAACAATTTGATGCTCAAACATCTCAGCAGAGGTAAAAATCATTGAAGCACTGAAAATGGAAGATATGAGAGAGGATTATAAATGAACCATCCCCTCCCTAACAAGCACTATACAGAAGACAACCTTCAACAATTTTTTTAAGAAATCAGTTTCAGAGTTGCAAGTGTATCACCCAATAGGGGTCAATAATTCACTCAGAGTATAAGCAAAGCTTCATAGGATAAATAGCAATCAGAAAGGGAGGACTTGTCATGCTACAAAGGATAATGTGCAATTGCTGCAAATTGATTGGCAGAAAAGAGCAATGCCATCAAATTGTTTTAATTGTTCACCTGATGATGAGCACAAATACCAACCCAGGTAGAATTCTAAAAACAATAAAACTTGTATATTTGAAATGCACGACCATTGATCTTGCAAACCCAGTAACCGATATATTGCAATAAAATTGAATCAACACTACAAATTGCAGTAACATTCAGCATTTATAAAAACCTGCCAGGATAGAAAGCTCTCAACATCATAATTTCCTAATTCCTTTTCTGAAACAAAAAAAAAGAGAGAGAAAAAAAATCATGGATATAGAAATGTACTCAATTCCATTAAAACAAACATCCATTAATACAAACAGAGATCATTCATCAGAAAAGATGCAAATTTAACCACTCACATGCCCTTGATGCAATATCAGTTCATGCCATTCCTAAACATAGAATATGAGTGTACTGCTAATAATACAAGCTACCCGTTCTTCAAAATTAAATCATCAGTTCATTTCTTAGCTAATACCCAAACAAAACAAACAGATAAAAAAAACAATGAAAAAAATCTCCTCACACTGAAAACAAACTTGCAATTTCTCTTAAACGATTTCATCCCCAAAAGCAAAAGAGCCCGAAAACGAGCTCCGGAAAACAATACAAATGAACCAAAAGGTTTCTTCCCGAAGCTTCTCCCAGTTTGAGTCAAGAAAGAACACCTAGAATACATACCTCCTTCAAGGAAAAAAAAAATCCTATTCAAAAGAATATCCAATTAGCCATTACTTCAAGGAAAGAATGGCAAATCAGAAAAGCCAATACAGGATTCTCTTGTTCACTCCACATAAAGCTGGCTTACAAGACAAGCAAACACAACAACATGAGATTCCAAATCTTAGAAACAAGACAACTTAAACCACACAAAGAAACCTAAAAATCCTTCTATTCAACACAGTATTCAAAAAAAGCACCTACCCCATCAATCGTGTCAATTTTTTACAAAAAAATTCAGCTTTTACTAATAAACACGGTATTCAACAGTTTTTTTTTTTTCCATTTAATTTTCTTGAAAGTCTTCAAGAAAACTGAATTTCTCCAAGAGTAAACAAAATATGATGTAACGTGTAACAAAAAACCATATTTTTGCAAAAAGTGAAAAATAAATCACAAGTAAACAACAGGCCCTGTATTAAGGGAATCAAAAAGCTTACCCCATGCATGCAAAAAGATGAGAGATCCAGGGAGGAAGGAGTCCACACAAATGCATTTACAAGCGGGACAAGATATATTTTTGCAGAGAAAAACTAAATCCAGGAAGGAGAGGACTATCAATCCTGCATCAAAATTAAAAATAAAACCAAATCAATAATCATAACAAAAAAAAAACTGATCTGAACATGAACATGACATGAAAAAGGCGGGTGTTTTGCGATTACCTAAAAAATGACATGATTGAATTAGATAAGGGAAATTGATTGATGGGTTTTACTCTCCTTCCTGGAAAAAAACGACCACCCTCTGGTTAGTGATTCAACCAAAGGGCTCTCTGTCTATGCCTCTGTTTCTTCTTCTTCTTCTTCTTCTACTTTTCCCTCCCAGATAAAAACAATAATGAACGGATTATTATTTTTTATTTTTGTAAAAAGAGGGCTGGTTTTAACTTTTAAGCACCATTCAGATTTTGAGGATTTAAGGGGGTCCACAGTTGAGATGCTGGTAATCGGCTGCTACTGCATGCAGCAAGCAACTCTCCCCGTGCTGTATTGTTTATCGTTTAATTGTGTTTCTGAATTTTTTTTATATATATTTTTGAATTTTAATTATTTTTTCTCATATTTTTGGATTTTTAAAATATATTGATATAAAAAATAATTTTTTTAAAATAAAAAATATTTTTTAAAAAATAAATACTTTAAAAAATAATTTTAATCACTTTTTCAAATAAGTTTAGATATAATAATCGCCATATTTAACTAGGTAAGAAAATTATTGTTTCAAAATGAAAATAAAATAATTAAAAATTATTATTTTATTTTTAAATAAAATTATATTTTATTAAGTTTATAACTTAACTCATTATATAATTTAATTTAAAATCTAGTTTAAAATAGCTAAATTAATTATCACGCTACTAAAAATAAAGGACACTAATTCAGTAAAAATTGATTAATAATATTAAAAAAATTATAAAATAAATTTTAAAGGTTTGGATAGCATTGTTTCATGTAGTATAATAAGATTATTGATTGGAGATTGCAGCTAATTTATATGCTAAAAATAAAAATATTATTTTAAAGGTAAGTTTCCTATGTGATATAATTTTGATGATGTTAACTTTAGCACTAAGATTTTTAACAAATATTTATCGATTTGGTACCACTTGTGAATTTACATTGATATTTACTCTTAATATAATCAATTCAAATGTCACCCTCATCGCCATAGGCTTTCATTCTCACTGCATTCAATGGGCAATTCTATTATATTCTATTCTTTAACACAACAATGTTTTTTTTTTCCTTTTTTTCCCTAAAACTATAAATTTTATCAATTAGATCCTAATATTCCTTACACATCTCAATTGGATACTTTTATTAAATTTTTAAGATTTTAATTCTAATGTGCATATTTTAATAATTCACTTGAATGATCTCGATTCAAAGAAGATTCACATAGAGGTTTATAAGAATGAAAATTTTCATTTTATATGCATGTTTTATCACTAAAACGGTGTGGATTTGGAGAAAACTTGATGAGAAAATGATTGTATTTTTTTTGGGGGGAACTTTTGAGATTCAATAAATAAGATATATAAGTCTGGGAATTAATTAATTAAGAATGAATATATAGATTAAGAACTAAATTGAGTTTTTTTCCCTTCAAAATTTAAGTAATTATTTCACTGATATTCTTTGAAACTAATATCATTACCTTTGAATATACTTCAAGGCCAATTCCTAGTATTTAATTAAAATAGGATTGGTTTCCAATCTGTAAATGATTAAGTTAGCCCCTCATTTATAACATGATGGCTTGATCATATATATATATATATATATATATATTATCAAGCATATATTATTTTTTCACACCACTGTGGATAATTTTCAATTAATTAAGTTCTTACACTAAAACATTTTCACATTTTTGTCATCAAAATGATTCCTTAAAGAAATGGTACTACTCCACCATTAGAGATCTTCAATGACTGGCACCGTTTATTTTTTTTCCATAATCAGTTTAAATATTTTAAATATTTTTTTACACTATCAGTTTATATATTTTTTCCATAATCAGTTTCAATACACCACTCATTTGTCCACAATCAGTTTAAATATTTTATATATTTTTTTCATAATCAGTTTCAATACACCACTCATTTGTTCAATCTAATTAATTAATTAATTATATAATCCCTCATAATGCTATCAATTTCCATTGTCGATTAGATTTGAACATCCTGCTTTTCCATGTGGGGTTTACAATTAGTGGATTCATCATTCATTAATCACAAGTGGATACCTTTCTTTTCTCTTTTTCTCTTTTTTCTTTTTTCTTTTTTCTTTTTTCTTTTTTCTTTTTTCTTTTTTCTTTTTTCTTTTTTCTTTTTTCTTTTTTCTTTTTTCTTTTTTCTTTTTTCTTTTTTCTTTTTTCTTTTTTCTTTTTTCTTTTTTCTTTTTTCTTTTTTTGTTATTAATAAGATTTAATACGAGAAAGGTGATGCCCCACCAGATACTATAATCAAAAGTGATATATTATTTTTATTAATTATATTATAACCCAACAAGTTAATTAGAAAGAATTGACTCATTTAAACTTTATCCATCTAGTTAAAATTTAAACTGATTTTTTTTTAAATAACATTATTTTTATTGATTTATATTAATTTAATTTAACTTCCTTAATTCATAATCCGGCAACTAAACATGTTTGATTTTTATCACTTTATTGCAAAACATCATCAAAGAGAGCGATGAGATTAGCAAGAAACATAGAATTTGTAGTGAACAAAATTTCATCTCATTGAATATGGTAATACACCCTTTTAGTTTTGCCCTAGGTGATCAGGATTTTTTTTTTTTTCACTCATAACCTAGCCAGTGGAAAATTGTGGAAAAAGGATATTTTTTTCCCAAGGTGTTAAATGTACCTAGCCTGAATGAACTTGTGGCCCTAGCACTAGCAGGGACCTCATGGCTTCAGGGCTAAACCATGACCCTATCTATCATGACAGGACATTTTTCTCTGAAACCAAGCTGTATGAATGTGGCTTCTGGGCCAGTAAGATAGAATTTTCTGCACCGTCACATGCAATAATGGTTCAAGTACCAAGGTCCAGACAGTGCCAACATGAAGAGAGACCCAACAGGACAATAACAGTGCAGGAAGAATAATGTTACTACAGTGATGATGGAGGTGGTGCTGCTAGAAGTGGAAGAGGGAGGGCATGGCAAGCATCACTGTTCACTGGCATTATAAGTTGTAAACAGTTGCATTTGCCAAATTGAAGTCATGGAAAATAGCTGCTCGAGCAACCTATTCTCATTCAACAGAGAAGCAATGTAAAAGCATCTTGTAATCAATCTAAGAGAAGAATAATCATTAGCAAAGTTCATTAAGTTCAAATCTATAGGTTCTTTAATATGAACACACAATATAGGTCACGCATTTGACAGGGATTTTCCATTTTCAAGAATTTATGTTGAAGTTCTTGAATTTTTTGTTCTCTGTACAATATAAATCATAAACTGGAAGAAGTTACAGGCAGAAAAACAACAAATGATCCCCCCCCCCACCTTTTTTTTTGGCGTGTGTATACATTCCTGAGCAACAGAAATTATCACCAATATTCTGCAAGATGAAACATGGACAGATTCAGAACAAAGGAAATATTGCAATGCCACTGGGGAGATGTTATAACTATATGAAAATGTGATTGATTTTATAACGTACCCTAGGTGGTGAGGATTGGAGGTAAGTAGTCAGATTTGGTGCCCAGGACATTAGCCTTGGTGTCAGGGAAATGATTAACCGCCCCTGGTAAAGTTGTAACAATTCCATTGTTACCAACTTGAATGGGATACCTGAGCAGGTGAGACATCAGATCCTGTTCGAGAGTTTCACTGGTGTATTTCTCCCAGTTGTCATTAGCAACTTGATTCACTTTCTGGATACATTGAACGCTTTCAGGGTGTTCGAAGGAAGAGTCAAGCATTCCAAGGTGCTCATGCCATAATGCCATTCGAAAACCGTATATCTGACCCCTTGCTGGTTGGCTAGTTGCCAAATGACGTGGTTGGTATCCTCCCATTGCAATCTCAGAATCTCGAGACCCATCCATTGATCTCTGGTTGATGTTTGCCGATCCAATGATTATATACTCATCATCAACTGAAAAGGCAAAATGATTATGGAGGTTAAATCCTATTTCCATTTGTTGTCACTAAAGGAATTACATTTGCACAGATCCTTGCTAAATTTAACACAATGGAAGATGCAAGAATAAGTTCATAACTCATGACTTACCAATCATCATCTTTGCATGAACGTAGATCATGAAGCGACGGGCCTGCTGAGCTCTACTATAATCAGTATCAGGCTCTGGTGCCTCTGAAGGTTCATATTCTCCAGTTTTCTTAGTCTCTCGGTTTCCAAGGCAGAAAAATGCCAAATACTCCCTAGGATCTGTCTTAAGCCCCTTTTTCTCGAGTGCTTCAGCGATATCAGAATACATCATGTCCATTGTTCTTCTCTGCCAATCTAATATTGCTTGGACAGAGCCACTCTCAGGTATACCTTCTGGCCACATTGGGATCACAACATAGACAGTAAACCTTTCTCCTGCCTCAATCTTGCTGACTATCTTAAGTGATAGCTCCTTTGGTATAAGTTGCAACGCGGCGATATCCGGGACATTGGTATCTGTTGACTTCCAGCCAAATGAGCTTCCAAGGAAATACTGATTTTCGATGTAAATAAAATTCTTGGCCCTCCTAATGGCATTGATATAAGCATCTTGAATGCTTCGGTCAATGACGCTGTTCTTCCCACTAACAAGGCCTGATGCAGCTGCTTTGTCAGGTTTCTGGGGAAAGCCATCAACAGCTCCATCATCAATAGAACGGAATAGCTGAACATTCCATGTTTCAGTGTCATTTGATTGCAACACTGGCAATGGGCGAACTGTAACTGCTTCAAGCTGTTTTTGTGAGATTAGAAGTTTATCCCCAACTTGCTTCGTCCACCTTTGCTCGAAATTGTAAAGGACATCCCATGCCACAGGACCCTCTAATTTGCAATGAATATCATGCCAAGGTTCTCTTGGACCACCTTTCTTGATTGAGGAGCCTGTAAAGTTAGGCTGGTGGAAATCATCACGATGAACTGAGGCCAGAGTCTTGAATAAGGGATGGTCTTGTGTATCATACCTCCCATCACAAAGATCAATGCCTCCAATGAAACTCACAATCTCCCTCTTTCCAGTTACAGTATCAGGCATTTCGGAATCAACAACTACTGTCTTTTGGTGGTGAGTAAACATGGTGGAGACTTGAAAGCCCTGAATCATGCTTCTGCCAACATCGGGATTGCGAGGGCACAAAATGCAATGCACCTTGGAGCCCCTGAAGTACTTTTCAGTTTCTTCATCGTGGGTTGCCATGAGTCCATCCTTCTTAAAATCCAAAACAGAAGTTCGGTCATCCCAAACAAGCATAAGAACTGTCACACCTTCTTCAGCCTTCTTTTTAAGCAGCTCCCCGAGTTTAAGTTCACCTCCCGGTTTTCTTCTATTGGGATCCCTTATCAAGGTAATTTCAGTATACACAGACCATCCGGTTATGTAAATTAGGTGTTTTGCATCGCTTATGGCTTCAAAGATGTCCTCCCAGCATCTGTGAGCTTCATAATGCTTTCCTGCCAAACAAATCTTTGGGGAAAAACTGTCTGGAACATGAGCATCTTGATATAAAGTAACCCGGCAACCTTGTCGTTGATTGAAGAACACGTAGGGAACACCCTCGTATTGCGGACTTTTGATTCCCTGAGACCAATATCTGTCTTGGTTAACATCAAAGAATTGCAGCTTGATGTGGACTCTAGAACCTCCTGGTACAGGTTTACGATCTTCATCCACTATTTCAACCCATCGTTCGAGTATCTTCCCGTTAGGGATATCCTCAACTGGAAGATAAGCTCTTCCAATCAATGTTGCCCCAATTGCGTCGTCATCTTTGATTGTGAATACAACATGTGAGATTGAATGGGCACAGTATATGTGGAAAGACTCATTCCACCGGGGATTGTAAGGCTCCTTTCCTACCATTCTGGTCCTTGCAACTCTTGCCTTGTCCAAATCTACTGTTGCATAGAGTCTAGAACCAGCAACATTCTGTTTCAAATATTACAGCAACGCAGAAAACATAAGATTTAATGCATAGCAAAAGTCAACTAATAAGTCCCTGAAAAACTGAAGAAGTTTTGCTGCAAAACAAGAAAGGAATACCTCCGGTAGGCAAGACATTGATCTTTTTACATTGACTAGACATCGCTTCCCAAACTTCAGAAATCCCTCCGTCTCCAGATTTTAAGAACACAAAGCATAATGGTGGGAGGAGTTAGTGTCAAAAGCTACTAGGTACAATAAGTTATTAGCGAGTTCATGTTCTCAATCTATAATAATGTGATAACAAATTTCATCATCTATCCAATAATTGGCTAAGAAGTAAAATTTCTCATGCAAACATCCTGACTATATAACACTTGCAGATGTTTCAAAGGCTTTTTCATGTAAGAAACCTGAAATGAGAACAGATGCATGACTTCTGATGAACAAAATTATTTCTAGATTTTGTAATAAGCTATATTTATAATTAGGTTGAATGAGTACTGCAGCTTAAATTCATATAAATTTGGATAATTTTTTCTATATCCATCTACATCATTTAATCTTTTTTAGGGCTAATTCATTTATAATCCATACTCATTTATATTGGTAGGTAGATGGTTATTGATGGATAGAAATAAATTGGAGAAAGCTTTAGGCTTTCCTATGGGTTTAGACTAGGTTTTATCCCTTTAATTAGGCTTCGTCTCTCATCTACCTGGGCCAGTAGTCTGCTTCATTGGTTATTGATGTCTCCTAGGTCTATTAAGATTTAGCAATTCACTGGAATGGTGACCGCGCTCCACTCCGTATCTCTTTTTTTTTTTTCAGTAAAGTATTTAGTATTTAGATATTATAAATGCCTTTTTTTTTGAAAAAATCTAATAATTTGGGTTATTGTCCCAACTAATTAAATAAGTTAATTGAATTATATGAAATAAAAACAATAATAACAAATAATAAGAATACGCACGCATGAGAGAGAGAGAGCGAATAAAATAATCATAGAAGAAATTTTTATTTTATTTATCAAATTATGTTTAATGAATTTATTTATTAAAATAAATTTATAATAAAAATTGACATATATATAAAATTTATTAAAAAAATATTATGCAAGGCTATATATATTAAAAATATCATTAAAAAATAAATATTTAATCTTTATAAAATAAAAAAAATATTGATAAATCATACGAACCGTCTAAAAACATTAAACACCCCTAATATAATTAAAATATAATTAATATTTAAAAAAGTTAAATAAAAAAAGTCAAAGAAAAGATGCACTAATTAAAACATAAATTTTAAAATTATCTTAAAAAAATATATAAAATATATTAAAAAAAAAAACTAAGACCAGAAGATGTGAGCCTAGGAAACCAAACGGAATGCCTAGTCTATAAAACAAACGACACATCGTCTGTAATTTCCTAGATTTCAATTATTTTGGCAGCAAAAAAAATAATTAAAAAACCTATTTTCAAGCCAAATTTTAGTCAATTCATGGCTTCCAAAAACACAAAAAACTATCTCAAAATAAAAAAAAAATTCTAAATTCAAATCTATTTTTTTAAGCACATCCAATGATCCAAGATAAAGAATAAAAACCTAATTTTAATTCTTTTTATTATATAAAATTATTTAATATAAAAATTGATCGTTTAGTGGCTAAAATTATCTTGAAGAAAAACTTTTTCTCTCTCACTAGAATCTGATAATCCTCTTTCTCTTTCCTCCACTAAAAAAATAAAAAAAAAAGAGGAAAATAAAATTTGATATTGAAATTGAATTTTTAAAATTAAATGGAATAATTACCAAATAGCTAAAAAAATATATAAAACTAAAATAAACTTTTCAAATAAATTTTAAAATTAACATCAATTTTACCTATCCTTTTCACTCAATTCCTCTATCTTTCAATTCAATCATTCTTCTAAAATGGGTGCTAATTTATGCTAAAAAAGGTTGAACTATACAAAATAAAAGTCTAAAGATTAAATCAAATTTTTTTAAAAATGCATTATTAAAATCCATAATACTTACAATGCAACATCTTTTTTAGTTTATACTTTAATGCTCAAGTTCGAGACTCCCAACCTTCACGCTAGGACCTTGTCAACTCATCCTCAAACTAAATTGATGTTAATTAAGTAAAACTAGAGTTAACCTGATAGGTTAACTTATAGTCCAATTAAAATATGTTGTTTTTTTATAAAAATTTTAAAATAATATTATTTTAATTTTTTTTTTTTAAATTGACTTAAAATAACTCATTCAATCAAGCTTAAAGTTCAGTCAATTTTCAAAGCTAAGGTTACATCGAATTTTATTTTTACATTTTAAAAATATTTTTAAATACTTTTAAAAAAATTTAAATACTTTTTTATCTTTTCTTGAAATTATATTTTTTTTATATATAGATTATATATATATATATGTCAAAAATAATTTTTTTAAATTAAAAAATATTATTTAAATATATTTTTAAATAAAAATTATTTTAAAAAATAACTATTATCATATATTCAAATAACTTTCAAGCTAAAAGAATGACCTAGCCATTATCCCAACTTCCTTGCATCAGCCATGGCATCATTAGATTTTGATAAAAAAATTATTTTAATCCTGAAACTTTTAGTGTGTGTATATATATACTCTTGAATTTAAGATTTATTTAATAGAAAATATGCATTTTCCCCTCCAAACAATTATTTATTATCATTTAATCATAATTTATTCATTTTATTTTCAAATACATCCTAGCTGTAGCTGATTATACCTAAATCTATTTTTCACCCTTTTTACGTATATAAATATAATATCTTAATATAAAAGTTAAATATAACTTAATTCAGTAAATAAATAAATTGAATTTAGTTCAATGTTTTTAAATTTGACATAGAAAAATATTGTTGACAATTTATTTCATTCTAGTCCTAAATAATTAAAAACTTATTTAAAAAAAATGCATTTTACCCCTCCAAAGAATTATTTATTATTATCCAACTACCATCTGATTATTTTATTAACAAATAAATCCTAAAATGTTTTCTATGTATCCAAGATCCTATTTTTAGCCTCGCCCTCCTCCTCACATATGAATATAATCTCTTAAGATAACATCAAATATAAATTCATCAAATAAATCAAAAGACTTTAATCAAATGGTTTTAAATGTAACACAAAAAATCAATATTTATTTCATAAAGCTAATTAACAAGGAAAAACAAAAATGCTAGAAACTTCAAAAACCTTACAGCTTCAAATGGCATATATACTTACCTTCAACAAACTGAATCCACATCCATATTGCAGATTATCAACCCCATATACGGTTACATCAAGTGTCCCATGAAGCAATCGTGGCGCCATTTTCACCTTTTCCACTCTCAAGAATCACTCAAGCACAAGAACTTGTGTGCCTGCTAAACCAAGAACAAGAGCATGGTTAGGGTTAATCAGGCCAACCACTGCAAGAAACAAGTCTAGAGAAACAGAAATTTGTGATTACTGCAGTGTTAAAGACTAGGCAATTCAATGCTTGGAAATTTATTTTTGTAAGAAAAGCAGGCAATACCTGGAGATGGAATCTATCACAGCCCTTGAAGAAAAAACTGAAGAAAATGCTTATAACAGAAGGAAGGGTTTGGAAAATATATAGGGAGACAAGAAGCTTGGAATCTTATGCATTCCTAGGAGGCACTGGGAAGGAAGAGATATATGTATCTCAAATAGGCAATATGGATTTCAAGTTAGAATCAATGCCAGCCTTTGTCTGTTAATGAAGCAAGGCATTCTGCTGCAATACGGGTCCCTATCTTAGATTATTTTCTCGATGAAACTTCAGGCATATAGCTCGAAGATAGATGACAAGCTTTCACCGAACAAGAATCAATGAATATTCACATCAACAAAATGATTAAAAAAAATAGAAAGAAAGTTTCATGTAATTAATAAACCCGCACCATTGGTAAAGGGATATATATTAGAAAAGATTATTAATACTTCTTGGATTCTTTGGTAGCTAGGATTTTTTTGGGCGGTTAAGAGTTTACTATATATATATATACCATGCAAGTTTATTGTTCAACCATATTAAATCTTATGTTTTTTCTAGTTTCTCTCACATTGTAATATTTATTAATAATTGCTCCCGATTTTTTACAATGTATATTTATGAAATTTAATCTAGCGCAAAACTCAAGTCATAAATCAAAAAGATTTATTTTATTTTTTTAAAAAAGGATTTTTTACAATATATATTTATAAAATTTAATCTAGAGCAAAACTCAAGTCATAAATCAAAAGGATTTATTTATTTTTTTATAAAAATTTTAAATAATATTATTTTGATAAAAAAAAATCAACAAGTTGAGTATTATATTGATAAAAAAAATCAACAAGTTGAGTATTATATTTAAATTAAATCAAGTTTAAACTGGTCAAGTCAATTAATAACTTAGACTTTTGATTAAATTAGCTGATTTTTTTAAAAATTTTTCTTCACTTTAGACTAGCCTAGGCTCTAGAACAATCCATCAATTTAATCCAAATTTTACAATTATGATATAAAAATATTTTTTAGCTGGCTTTTGCATTTTAAGATGAAATATTATTTTGTTGGAATTTTAAACTTCTAATAAATATTTAGAATGATATATCATGATAAAAAACTTTTTCATCGGTCAAAACTAAATGTTTTTTTATATAAATAATATTAAAATTATATCTATTTCAATTTTGGTTCATTTAAACAAATAAATTTCTCTATATAAATACCAGTTTTAAGGTTTAATCTCTCAAAACGTAAACAAAGAAAACAAACTTTCTTGTCCGCTAAACATAATCTTCAGGATTAGATTCTCATATATATAATTTATAAGTGTATGGAATTGCAGTTTCTTTCACGTTTTTGTGCGTTTTTTTTTTTTAAAAAAAACTTCTCATTATTCATGGGTGGGTTTCGAAAATTGGGCTTATAATATGAACACAGCTTTTAGATGTGGTCCGCCATAACCAAGCTTACATGGAAGGAGACTGATAGGATGGGTCCAATTACTTAGACTGGGCCACAGAAAAAACCCAAACTAGGTTTATCTATGGTTGAATTAATCTTATCAAATCTGATTTAAACTGAATTGGATCATGTCAACGTTGAGAGATTTTAAAAAATAATATTTTAAAAAAAAATTAGAAAGGATTCGTTGACCCGTGAGTTAAGTAAGTGATCCAATAAACCCAAACTAGGTTTTACACCTATAAATCATATAATTAATTTGTTAATTGAAGCAAAGTACAAGCACCACGACATTAGTTTCCTCTTGAAGATGCCGAGCCATAATGTTTGACAATATCCGCCAGCAAATCCAACAAGTTCCAAGCACGCCAATTTTATTTTATTTTTAATAATTTATAGAGACACTCTTATAACTACAAGATCAAGAAGAGGACTTGGTCCTCTCCCACAAATTAATTTATATATTAAACTACTGTCTGCACCGATTCTTAATGTCAATTAATGAGCCCCCAGCTGAATTAATTAAACCAGCGGCTGCTGCTGCTGCTGCAATCCATCCCTTCGGCATGCATGCATGGCTAGGTGAAATAAAGTCAGGCCACATTGTTCAAGCGCGATGGGTGCTTGTAGAGCTGAAACAATTTCATTCTAATCCTAATAATACCTAGTGTTTAAGTCATAGTTTTGCAGTCATCGAGTCCGAATATTGGAATATTTAAAGATCTTTTTTTTCTTAAATACGTCAAGTTCTGGGAGGATGTCTTAAGATTGCTTAGAAAATAAATTTAATTTTAATACCATGTAAACTAATTCTAATATATATATATATATATATATATATATATATATCGCCATCGAGAAAAGAAGTAAAAGCCATACATGGATTATTTTAGAATCTCCATTGACTTTATTTAAAGCTTCTGTGTATAGACATAAATGTTAATGTTACTATATATGATATACCCATGATCGAGATGATTCAATTTTTCATTAAAAAGGCCATTTAAACGTACACTGCCATATTTTTAATTTCTAGCAAAAATTGGAAAGGAGAAAAGGAAGAGGAGGGGGCTTAATTTTCAGGAACAGGTGTCTCACAAACTTAAATGCGCACCCGTACACCTTCACATGCAAATATAATAATATTTCAATACTTTATAACATAAAAAAATAAAAAATAAAAAAATTATGTATTAGACAATTATATGTGTGTGTGTGTATCCTGGCATAGATACACTTTCCACAGAATTCAAGTAACTACTTTTTCATGTAAAAGTATAAATAATTAAAAAGTAAACCATCATTTATTTATTTAAAAAAAAATAAGGGGAAAATTGACAACTGATTAAAACTCCGGGATCCGATCTATTCAGGAAAAACCCTGTAAAAATCTATTATTTTTTTAAAACGATTTATTCTGAATTTTTTTCAAAAAAAATTGATTAACCCATTTAATCTTTTAACCCTTCTCCTGAGCTGAGTGAAGTTTAATAATTATGAATGTATTTTTATAAAACAATATTATTTTCATACTCTTGAAAGTATATTTTACATTACGCAGATTCATAATTACCGCAATCAATAATTATAATATTGTGAATTCCTCACGTCATTCAATCAAATATTTTTTACCCCATTATAATATTTTTGATCGTGTGGACGTACAGAAAACGATGTAGACTTGTAAGCAAGATCCTTTAACTCCTATGGTTTTGATTGGTCGAACATTGTTAGAGCTTACTTGGTTTATCCTTTTTAGCTGGGCAATAGCAATGAACACATGCTATCATTTATTCTAGTTGTTATGAAGCTAGCTAGCCAGCCAGCCAGCGTTTTGATTTCTGCATCACCAATACTTGTTTAGGTGAAATCTTTATTGCAACTTTAGACTTTTCCCATCCAATTCACATAAATCTGTCTACATATTTAGTGCATTGTCTGCTTCTCATTACCTCTTCTCTACAAAGTCGTCTCTCACTTATCTCTCTGATCACTCTCGTACTTGCATGATTATTGTCATTATATATGATCTTAATTTGCAGTGTTTTTCTAAGTTTTCTTTCCCAAATCATGGTACAATGCAAGAAATTCAGAGGCGTCAGGCAACGCCAGTGGGGCTCTTGGGTGTCTGAAATTCGCCACCCTTTACTGTAAGCCTTACCTTCACCTACTCCCTTCATTAATAAGATCATCTGCCTCCTTAGGAAAATATAAAGAACGTTAGGGTGTAAGAATCTGTGTGTTTTTATACTTTGATAGCAAGCCACATTATAATGTTCTAGCCAGATCTCTTGTTATTTATGATCCCTCATTCTCTTTTGCGTTTCTCTTGAATGTAGAGAGAGGAGATCGTGTGATATGGGCTAGCTAGGGATGTTTCAATGATTTTTAGCTCTTAATTTCTTAATGTTTGTGTGTAGGAAGAGGAGGGTATGGCTAGGGACATTTGAGACAGCTGAGGCAGCAGCAAGAGCATATGATCAAGCAGCTATATTGATGAATGGACAGAATGCCAAGACCAATTTCCCAGCAAGTCATCTTGATCAGGACACTAAGCTCGGCAAAGATAACAACTCTCCCTTGCCTGCCAAGGCACTGGCTGAGCTTCTCTACTCAAAGCTAAGGAAGTGTTGTGGAAAAGACCCTTCTCCTTCACTCACTTGTCTAAGGCTCGACAATGATAACTCTCATATTGGCGTGTGGCAAAAGAAAGCTGGCTCTTGTTCAAGCTCGAATTGGGTCATGAGGGTCGAGCTTGGAAATAGCAACAGGAAGAGCACACAAGTTATGGAGGAATTGCGACCTTCACTGTCATCAGAATCATCGTCAAGAGTTGAGATTGAACCTGAAAATGGTACAGATGAAGAGGATAAGATTGCTATGCAAATGATAGAAGAGCTGCTTAATTGTAATTAATAGGTAATTAATAGGTAATTAATAGACCTTCATGGAACCTCTATTTCTTGTGGGGTCTAGACACCGGACCTTCCTTGACCCCTGTTCGTGCCCTACACAGCAGCTAGATAGTATGTGATTCCCTATATCTCTAGATCATCACCCCATATATACATGCATTTGCCAATTTCCTCACAAATATAAAGTTGCCACTCATAGAATCCAATCTCATAATCTCCATGGCTTTAGGAACTTCGTCTTTGTGATAGGTGACTGGAAAATATATATTCTGCAGACCAATAAACACCTGCTTTAAGCCCAGACACCATTTCTCACTGCAAGCTGTGTTGATTAGACGCCACAAGCCTAGGTATATAAAGCCAGTTTGCCTGATGTGCAAGGAAAAATCAGCCAACATGGCGAATTTTCATGATGTATATCAATTATCATCTCTTATTTACAACTGCATAAATACCTGTGGAAATGGAATATATATATATATATATATATAAGACCCTTTCCTTTTCTTTCATTTTTAAGAGTGGCTTGAGTTTTAATTTGATGAGAAATACGTGGGGTATACATGCCTACCTCCTTCTTTATAGGTGTGCCAATTTACTCATAAAAATGTAAGAATTTGAATACTATATACATGTGTTTTTATTTATTATAGTTAAAAAAATTAATTGGGTTAAAAACAAATGAGACAAGATCTGGCTTATAACATTAATGATATACTAACCCGCCTTAGAAAAGACATGCATGCTACAAAGTAAATATGCGTTGCACGCATGCGATGTAATTGAATTGTTCAGATTTTAATTTATACTTTAAAAATTAATTATTAATTTTCAAAATATTAAAAGCTTATATAATTCTTTCTCGTCATTTGCTATGCCCTACATACGTATCACCTCACATGGCACTCTCAATCATCGTCAGCCTCTTCATCAATGTAAAGTTAGCAACTACCACCAATGGCGAGAATGAATTTCTCCAGCATTCAATTTTACCGCAACATCATTCAAGAATTATAATAAATACATCAGAACAACAAACAGATTCAACAACTTCATTATTCAGCAATTCAAGAATACATACGCTTTTTCTCTTTTTTTTTTATATATTTACTAACTTAAATATTAAAGGATTTCTCGTAGATAAAAAAAAAAAGAAGAACAACTTATGTTTTTCAGGAATACAAAGCCCATATTCAAGCTGCTGACAAGCTTCGGTCTAAAATGTCATCAACATGAGAAGCTCAATTTATGCAGGGAGTTCATCAGTTATATAAGCTTTTTTCTACAGAACACTGACTTGATAGTTGATGCATGTCAGAAAAGCATTTTTCAGACATCTAATTAAGCAAAATGTCCCATCACCGTTGTAATAACGCTATATAATACTGTACTTGTGCTTTAATTTCCACAAAATATTAATTAATAACACTTTGAAAAAAGAACCAAGTAGCTTGATGTGTCATATATAGGCCGTAGAAATTAATTACAGGGGGGGATGTATGTGGACAAATAAGTTTTGGAAATCATTTTTGCCTCATAAAAAGTTGTTCAGGGTACTATAGTATGTTTCCAAGAAAATTGTAAAATGAAAAGGCATTTACTAGAAAAATATCTTAATTAAATACATTCCATTAAAGAGACATCCTTGTGCAGAGGATGGTGTTCAAGGCATTCAAGGGCTGGCTAAAACAAATCCTGATAAATAACTCTAATCTACTTAATTTTCAGAAATTATGTTATCAATAATTATACTACATATCAAGTTAGAAGTTCTTCTGTTTCGTATGATACAAGTCCGAGAGGTCTAAATTAATTTCACAGCTTCAATCACGATCCCAGAATCTGACAACGGGAAGGGACAACTCTTATAGAAGTAGTTGGAAAATCATTAATGAATGCTCCATGTCCTACACTAGTAAGCTATCTCCTTCTGCCGGCAACAAAAAAGAACAGTATATAACATTGCTGCTGTCAATTAGGGTTTTCAATGGAAAATGGGTGGGTAGGTGAGTATCAATAAAGATCGAAGCAAGCCATTGATGTAGATTGTAGACTTGTTTTTTGTAATAATGTTCAAGTGTTCGTCGGTTCTTGTCAATCGATCCTTCTCAAAATGCTTGCCCAGGGGACCCCTCCATCTTTATGATCCCATTTAATTTGTAGGGCAGATCAGTTTTGTTGGTGCCTATATATATATAATCGTAGACACTGTTTAGATGTAAAACAAAAAAAAATGAAGTATTTTAGAAAATTAACATTGGAAACAAATATTTTCTTGTTAACCCTAAGAGAAAAATGAAGAGGAAAAGTTAGAAAACAAAAACAAACAAATAATTCGAAATAGAAATGTTGCTGGCCGTTCTCATCTCAATTTCTAAGGGGAACATCTTATCGAACGGTACCGTTTTTAATGTACATAAATTTGTGTATTCTCATGTGTTGTGAAGACCACTTTGTTTATTTATTTCTCCCTGTAATTTCATTGAACATGTAGTGATGAATGCAGATATCAATGAACAAAATCATAAATTTTATTTTTTAAAAATCAAAATTGATTCATAAAATGGGTTATTTTGTAGACTTAATTTAGCTAATGAAGCTTCATGTTTTTTTTCTTAATGTGAAGGGAGTCCCGGAGAACACAGAGAAAGAAAGAATCAACAGGCTGATAAGGTTGAAGCCTCCCAGCAATATCTGATCCGAAACCTGATTGAAGTGCCTTTTTGCAATCTCAGTTATGTTCATCCCCTGGAGTCTGAGGCACCAGTGGTTTCTATTCAAGTCTGAAACTTGAAACCAAAAAGCTCAGCTGAGAAATAATATAATGGTTTGCGTGCTTTCTTTTGATGTCCTGGACAAGAGATTATCGTGTAATAAGAATAGAGATTTCTGGTTTTTGGTTTCCCACCACCCTTCAGCATCATGCACAACTGGTAACTGATCTGCATTTTTAGGTTAAGACCTGCACCACAGCGTAGATCAGATTGGCATCAACTGCACACGTTATCAGTCCTGGTTCAGGACAAGAAGCTACTCCACACACCGACCATTTGGTCAGTATTCTCTTCTTGCTCCAAATCTCTAAGGATTATAGTAGGGCAACAAACATGCAGACACGAAGATCTGTAAAAGAGAGCTGATAAATCCTTCTTTTACTTTGTACTATTATGAGTTGTTTCTGGCTTCCTGCAGAAGACCCAAATGCCTAAATTCAAGAGCTTGCTAGTAAACTTAGCCAGGCAACTAAAAAATTCTAAACCCCGAACAACAGCAATCCACATCACATGCAATTCGAACTTGTGAGAAACCATGTTACACTAATTAAAACAGGTTCCATTGAGACCAGATGCGGTCCTTGACGACTGCGGGAACCCTGATGGCTACATGGAAGAATGTTGCAGTTCAACCCTACTGCTCCATGTTGTGGACTGAATCAACATGACTTTCTTAAGCCAAATATTCATGCCTGGACAAAAAATGACAACCAGACTTTCTGACCTGACCTTAGGAAACAAAACCACCAGAGATCATTCCATACACAGAAACCAACTGAGAAGACTATTATTGCAAGAGGAATACTATTAACAATCGTGATAATGCCAGTTCAAAATCCATCATCTTATATCACAATAAAAACACAACACTTTGATATTAACGATATTATGGCAGAGTGGCCCTGCAGCCAAAAAGTATGACCGCTACAAAATATAACTCAATAACACCTTCAGATGCTGGTCACATCCTATCAGCGAGATACTTGGCTAGTGAATTGATAGGCTTAGCAGAGTCAACATTTCCTATTCTGCTATGCCGAATCTTGATCCGAGCAAGGTAATCAGCTGCAATCCAAGCAAAGCTCAGCATAGCTGCACCATCTGAATCTTGCAACTCCAGTGATTTCTGAATCCAACGAGGATGGTAGGTAACCTGATACCAAGCGGACGCCTTCCGCTCATAAAGCATGTTCTTTTCGTCATCATCGAGTTGCCCAAAGTCCAAATCCATTTTCTCAAAGACTTGCCTAAATTCTCTCTTTAAGCAATTGTAAGAGTGTTTAAGCCTCTCTTTCAGGTCCCCTTGCTGCCTACTGCTGCCTTTTGGCATTGACCATACATGCCCTGTTACAACCTCTTCTTCCCTCTTCACTTTATACTGAGCAAGAAGGCCATTCAGCTGCCCATCGTATGAGCACTTCCGATCCCATGCATCACTGATATAATCAGTAGCTCCCAGAACTTCAAGATCCAAATCATACGGGACATCACCAGGAACAAAATTAAGATCAGAAGATGCAGCCACATCATCGTCATCATAAGCATCTTTTATCTGGCGATATAGTCTTCCCAAAATTTTCTTTGATTTATAGGACTGGTGCTCCTCTTTCCCCATAAAATCTGGATAAATTTTAGGTTTCAAATCCGAAGGCATTGAAACAATTTTCCCAGTCTTGGGAAAATCAACAGCTGTGGCCGCTAACTCTGCTAGAGTTAGGCACTTCTCATCCAAAGCACCATACTCACTCAAATCAGCACGAACTACATGTGCATTGCAAATTGCCCCTAAATTCTCGTTCGCCATGTTTTTTGCAAAGAATTCTATAATGTCCTGTGTGCCAAACATACAGTCATTAGTAATTTACTCAGTAGCAAGCATCTAATTTCACATGGTTTATCCCCCAAGTGTAGAATTAATAAAATGAACTACAATTGAGAAAGAGTATCCTATGGTTGATACATTAATTAATCCAATAGAACTTTGTAGACACAACAGAAAATATATACCCTTCTTTAAAGCATGCTTTTCCCCTCATATCTAATATTCTAGTTCAACAATATAGTAGAATTATGCAGCAATGCTTCTTTTTTTTTTTCCTTCTTTTTTTTTTCACGAAAAAGGCTGATACCCAGTTATCGCATGCCTATCCACAGAAAGACAGATTGGAAAGTTCCATCGTTCAGCATTCTTCCACAAAGTAATTGCTATTAAAATCCGAACCTGCACTGCTATTATGCCCAAAACTTCAAACATTACATGAACCAATGGCCCCTGATGATGGGTGCATGCAATTGATTAAGAAAAAAAAAAGTAAAAATGATTGGTGTGGTGCCATCTAGGGTGCAGTTAGAACACTTCTAATTCAGAAAGTTAGATGATATATTAAACTTGAGAAATGCATTCA